AGCTGGGAAAAATTTAACTTTGGTGAATTATTTAATTTCATTTCTTGCAACAGATTATGTGTAACTATTGAATTTCTTATTGAAAAATTCATGAATCATCATTAAAGAGTTTCTCGTTCCACAACATATGGTACCTCTTATATCCCATTATCAACAATAATCATAATATCAACCATAATAATAACATCAAAAATATAAGATCAATATGACTTTTTTTTTCTGAGGATTGCAAATTGCATTAAACAATAAAAGAAAAATCCTAGTACAAGCAGAAACTAAAAACAACTAAGAATGTTATCTTACCTAACAAATGGTAGGTAACAATTATGGAAAAGCAAAAACCTAAGAAAAAAATATTTGCAAAAATGAAAATATCATAACAAAGACAAAATTCACTACTCCTCATTTTGAGCCAATTGGGATGATGGGGAAACCAAATATTAGACAACCCAAAAGGTTGGTTAGTATCCTAGGGATCCCAAATAGGAAAAATGAAAAAATAGTAAGAATCTTAAACTCCATTGCTCTAATCTCATTATGCAAATAATGCAAAAAATAAAAAAACAATAATGCCAAGTAGCCTCATGATGTAGACAGGGGGGGGGGGGTCAACTCAAGCCCAAAATAAATTGATTTTTGGCTTTTCCCCGAGTCTACAAGCTTAATAAAATTTGGAGCTGGGAATTTAGCTCATTTTATGAGCTTTGTTTTAGTTCATTTATTGAACTAAAGGTTAGCTCATTATTAGCTAGGTTTTAGTTCATTAATTGTCTTATTTATGTAACTTTTATTTATAGTTTTAAAAATTGAGTTTGTCCCTTGGAATTCCAAAATGGCTTTCGGAATCCCAATGTTAGTTGTTTTCCGTGCTTGGTCATTGGTTCCCCACGGATGGCTCTTGGTTTCCCGTGGATGGCTCTTGGAATTCCGTTGCCTTGGCTCCTTGGTTTCTAGCGGCTGCCTCTTCGGTTCCTGGTGGGTTGTTTCCCGTGAATGAATGGGGGCTTTTCTGTGGCTTTGGTACTCGTTCCAAGGAAGTGCCTGTTTGCTTTCATATTCCCTATTTAAATAAGCTTTTAAATTAATGTTGCTGGCTATTTATATTCTCCTCTCATGCCTATAGTATAGGAGTTGTTTGTAATGTTTTAGATATGTTATGTGATGCGATTTTTGGAAATGTAAACCTGCGGGTTTCATGGAAAAGCTTGCGAGCTTTGTCTGTCTTCTTTCTCATCCCCTTCGGAAATCTTGCGAGCTCTTTCCAACCTTTCGTCTTGGCTTCTAACCTCTTTCGTCTCTCCGCAAGTGCCACTCTACCTGTATCCCTCTTCTCTAAGTGAAGCAATTTTAGGGTGTCTTATTTGAGTCAAGTTTGTTTGAGTCAAAGTTTGTAAGTCTTTCATTTTTATAATATTAAAGTTTGTTTTAAGTATTTTATGTCTTTATTTTGTATCTAGAAAGGTCGTTCTTTTTGTGATCAAAAAATATAGGGTCCCCTATATTTTTTGCTCGCATCACCTCAGCATATTCTATTACAGCATTCCCCAGAGATAATAAATTTAATTTGTTATTATCTCTAAATGAATCTTTGACATCAGATGCTGAATTAAGACTTTTGACATCCGTCCTCTTGGATGTTGATACGGTCCTATTATTCTTGAATTGAACATGCATCCAAGGACCATAAAAAAAAATCATTATATGATTATAAAGGTCCATTATCAATATTTTCCAGGACTTTCCTGACTGAATACGAAGCAGGAAAGTGGCAATTACCAATTTTTACACCTTGTCCATCAGGACATGAGTCCTTATGCCCAATCATGCCACACTTGAAATATAAGGTAGAGATATTTTCATACTCAAATTTTTGAAAAAATTTCCCATATTTACCTTCTATTCATATTCCATGTGATAACTTAGAATTTAACTTGAATCAAACACAAGCTCTAGCAAATTCCCTTCTATCGCACTTGAACATGTTGCCTCTAATAACAAAGTGTTTCTTTTACTTGAAACAATCTTTGTCACATTAACTTCATCCCAACATTGTAATGACAAATGAGAAAAATAAATCCAAATCGGTGAAGATAAAACCTTCCAAAGATAGAGGAGAAAATTTGGTGTCTATTCATCCATACCAATTATGAATCCACCAACATACCAAGGGCCTCCACTTAAAACTTCCTCAATGGCATCAGACGATTGAAAGGAACACAAGATCCAATCTAATCCAAGAGATGATAAATGAAAACCGCCAAATTTACACCATTGACGCCTCAACTCAATACTACAATGGGAAAAAAGTAAATTTTTACAAAGAATCTTAACAACATTCCCATCCCACACTTTCAGATTTTGAATCCAAAGAAATTACAGTAATATGTTGTGTTTTGGCCCAAACATTTCCCTCCTTCAAATCAGAATTGGGTAAACTATTACAGAAACAAAGGAATTCTTTATGTTATTTTCAAGCAAACAATCTGAAGTATCATTCTCATCTTTAGATAGAACATAAGACATGCAAAAACTCATGATTTTATCATCAACCAAATGATTAAAAAACCGATTAACTTTCAAATTAAACCCAGAAGAATACGTGGCTTCAAGATCGTTTGGTTTTGGAACAAATACCAAATTGCACAACATAACAGACTCTGGAATACGACAAAAAGACTCTGAATTTTAAACTCACTATAATAACATTATTTAAAGTTTTAAATAGATCATGCAATTGATGCCTATAAACAAGAAATGAAAAATGTTATTCCTTAAGTTCATGTCTCATATCAACTCTAGTAGTTTTGTTGTCGCAACAATGCTTCGCCAAAATATTTGAGAAAGTTCCATGATTTTGTCTTAGTAAGTTCCACTTTTTGGGAATCAAATAAATTGTTCTTTTCAAAGAATTTTTCTAAGTCATCTATCCAGTATAAATATATTATAGGATTGTCCCATTAAATATCATAATATAACTTCAAACCCCATTGTAGTTAAGTTGAAAATATTTCTAATCAAACTTAGAAATATTTCATTTAAATTATATATTTTAGGATATTTTTAATTAACACAAATATTATATCCACCGGCGGTTCCAATTACTAACCCTAACCAAGATTTGACCAGGATTTCCTTGGCCGAATCTAAGGGAAAGGAGATCGGACGGAAGGGGTTCAACAAGGAGAGTTTCATCCATCAAGAGCCACCTCCTAGGGCTTCAATAAAGAGTGGATCAAGGTTTCCATAAGAGGAGACAACAAGGAGGAAATTGTGTAGTGGAGGTGGTGGAGTGGCCGACCATTATGGGAGGCATTTCGAGCAAGGGGAGTGGGTAATCAGAGATAGAGGGGGTCAAGCTGAATCATGGAATCTTGTCATGCAAGAACAGATGGAAGAAAGGTTTATGTCATGTTTGAGAATACTGTAGTTTTCTTTTTTTGAGGGATCCTAGTGGCGTCTAGGGTTTCGGAGAGAAGGTCCTTCTCTCGAAAAGGACCATTGTATCTTGCTTTGTTAGTATTTGATTTTCTATAAATATAAATCTGTTTTTGTGTTGAATCTCATGGAGTGTTGCTGTTTTTGATAACAAAGCGCATCACAATGATTTGGCAATGTCTCCCTCTACCACAAGTGCCACAAATGAAGAGGAGATGCCAAAACCACTGAATGCCATCTGATAGAGAAGGATCAAAGTAGGGTAGTCATAGAACCACAAAAGGCCATAAAGAAAGCCATGAGAGATGGTCGCCACAAAATTCATTGATGGAGGCCAAGTCATCAAAACAGGAAGCTGAGGAACAAGCACCAAAACCCAATAGCTGGAGCAGGAAGCAACAAAGACATTACACGCTCTGCATCAAATGAAATAAATTATTTGTTGATTCCCGTTGATGCGTGGCCTTCTGACTATGAGAAGCAATGATAGACCTGTTACCATGAGAGCCACACGACAGTGAAAGAAGCATGATTCTTCAGGTTGACTAAGCCAAAACAAATAGCTAGAAGTTTCCAACATTAAATTTCATTTATGTACCTCTGCAAAAGATGAAATTGATGCTTGCCCCTCTTTGTTGTATTTTCAACCATTTGTTCAATAGAACTCAGTTTCTGGTTTCATTATATTTGAACGTAGAACAATGACCTGTTTAAATGGATGCCGTCATTATTTATCAACACTACCAAGTTGTAGATCAGAGTAGACCCCATCATTGATTAAGCTTAATACATTAATCAAGACAAATGAAACAGTTTGTCACTTCAAATATACAAGCATAAGATACCTACCTAAGCCAAATGTTAGCAACCTTTTTGACAACTAGATATGTTAATTGAACATGTTTGTCATCCATGGATGCATGTCCACTTCAGCAAATTCTGTTGGGAAAGAATATTAATGGCTAGTTCCGCCTCACTCATACCCATAGATCAGAGCAATGCTCAGATATTGAAGTTTCATCCTCATTCTTGGAATTTTGATTTGTTAGCTTACACGCCTAAACAATATAGTTTTAACTTGGATAATTTTACAAATCTAATTATAAGAAAATGAAACCAAAAAAACGAACCCTAAAACCATAATTTACTTCAGACTCTCTAAAATCTTTAGGACTTAGGCTAGGCCAAACCGGATCTCAGTGTCCAAGTAGATCAATATAAAACTTTATACAAGAGGTCCTGAAACCATAAAAATTTGCCTTAAGAAAAAGAAAGAAGAAAATCATTTCAAAAATATAGGAGAATTTATGGAGCAGGAAAGAAAACAAAAAAAATCAAGTAATGTCAACATTCGCAGATATCTATGGAGACAAATGTAAGAGATAGCTTAACGACTATTAAGTAATTTTGATACCACTTTCTCTGACTACAATAAAATCAAAAAAAAAAAAAGTGCACCATGTTAGGAAAGCAACAAGTTTAATCAAATTAAAATTCGCATGCCCTTAGTATACTTTCCATTTGCGAGTTAGTAAAAGTAAACAAAAAGGCTACCAAATGCTTACCAAACCAGGGAAAACACCAATTGCTTGTATGACAGTACGCATAAACAACAAAGGAAGAGGAATCTGTTCAACCTGGAAAATGAAAAAACACCTCACAAAATAATAATCAGCTTAATAACACAAAGGCCAGATAGGTACATGAGATCTCCAAACCATACCAATTGATTCAAAACCTTTGCTAAAACTTGTTGAGTGAACACAAGCCGCTGCTCAAAGCATGCAGAACAAGCATCCATAATCTGTGAAGCAAAGTTACAAGAGCTATTGAAAAATAAAAAGTAAACAGAAGAATTTCCTTTTGCAAGAGCTATTGAGTAAATGAAGAGTAAAACTGAAGAACTGTACCTTTTTCAAAGGTACCCCATCTTTCTCAGAATCAATACCATGAATAGAAATTAGAATTTCAGCAGGGGTCAGTGAATCACCAGATTGAGTTGAACCCTGAAAAGTTAAAATTAAAGCACATCACTATAAAGATATAATAATATGTGATTGAAGTATAATTGGTATGCAATTGAAACCAAGAAGATGTAAAAGGCTTTAGAGGAAGTGCTGATAAAATAAAATCGCAAAACCACGGAACTCGGGAAGAATATTTTCCATCATTCACAATTTTCTTTTATAATAGCCAGACATGAAACTGCTAATTTCTTTCCTCCAGTATCCTCTCAACAACAAGAGGTTCTAGTTATGACATTGCTTTACACCAAAAGCCTAGCCTGCTCCCCAATCAAAAATAAAACTCAGAAAGCAACTTCAATAACAATGAAAATTATGTTACTCCAACTCAATCTAGCGTTCCTACATAAAACATCTCCTAACAACAATCCCTCACTCAAATGTAGAAGCATATGATCGATTATCCACAGCTCCACAAATAACAGAAACTTAAAAATAGCCAGGATCATCAAGTGTTTTGAGACATAAGCCAAATATTTGATGGGATAAAGTCAACATTTTATATGGGAAGGAATTTATTTTGTAACCTAAAACTACCATATAAATTTTCTACTGATGGTGGGCTATTCTAATCACAGAGAAACACTACCTTTATCTTCCAACGCACCGTATGCCTCAAAAAAGTAACTATCCATCTATGATGTATCAATACTTTGTAATAATGAAGTCTATCATGTCAAATATAAGCAAGACACATGCATTTGCCAGAAATGCGCCAGACACACCATCTCTAAAAAAAAAATTAACAAGCACGCATATCCACATGTGCCTTAAATAATAATAATAAATAAAGTATATTACATAAATAACTTTCAGTTAAGCTATTTTTTTTCTCTTTTATTTTAAAGTATATTACTTATGAACTTAACAGGTGCTTAATTTTAATTTTTATTTTCTTATTCTGCTCTAATTACCTATGATTTTTCTAATGTTTTTTTTTTTTTGTGCAAAATAATCAATTTTCTCATCTTCAAACCAACAATCTAAGCTATCATGTAACTATTTTTTCTTCAATTGAATTTAAGTTATTTAATAAATTAAAGATATTTCTTATTTTATGATAATATTTATTTAAAAAATGTAATTACTATATAATTCTCTTAACTTTTAAGTTATCATATCATAATGACGTTGATGTAGGTAGGGGGGGGGGGGGGGGAAAGGTAAGGGGGGTCAAAGCAATCCTAAATTTGATGACTCCTCTAGCATTAACTCGTCTAGTAAAAAAAATAAGCCATTATGAGCTGATTTTAGTTCATTTTATTGAACCTAAAATACCCATATTCAAAATTATTTTTCTTCTTTCCCCTTTTTCTTCTCATTTCCTTTGCCCTTCCCTTCCCATTTTCTTCTTGTCTCTTGATTCCATGCTGTATAATGGGGCTGAAATTCTATGCTGAGAATTCAATTGGAAATTATTAATTTCCTTGGGAATTAACCAGTCTTTTCCCGAGCATGCGTTTTTCCCGATGCTTTGCCTGCTTTGGATTGACGGGCTGTTTGCTTATGGCTCCTGTGCCGTGATTAACCATTCTATTCTTCAGAATTAATAAAGCTGTTTCGAAAATGGATTACTGTGCTGCTTTGAAAGTTTCGCCTGATTGCTGCTGCTTGTCCGGAGCGCTGGGTTGTTTCCGAAAAAGAAGCTATTTGGAAATCCTTGGAACATAAAGCTTGGGATGAGTGGATTCAAAAGGTGGCTTTGGCATCCTTTCTTGCCATAAAATGAGGTTGAGTGTGTGTTAAGAAAAAAAAGTGATAATGTGATTGGGACAAAAACCTGTGAAGGTTTTTGGCTTGGAAATCCCGCGCTCTTTCCACCCTTCTCTTTCTCCCCTCCTGGAAATCCTCGGACTCTTTCCAACCTTTCGTCTGGCTTCTAACCTCTTTCTTCTATCCGCAAGTGCCATTCCATTTTATCCTTCTTACTCAATAACAAGATAGCTAGCATTAAGCTGTAAATCAGTAACTCCTATAATAAAAATGGTCAATCAGACTAATACTCAAAAAACGAAAAAAAATGACCCCTCCAAAGATCACAAACAACATAGACCTAACAACAGTGCAAAGCAAACAACCATCAATCAAAACAAAGCCCACATCAACTATATCAAAAAAAAAAAAAAAAAAACAAAAACAAACCAATCAAACAACACAAAAAAACAACAAATCAAAATCCTAAAAACCCAGCCAAACATAAAAAAAAGCAATACATATAATGAACAAAAACAACAAAAGACCCCCCCCACCCCCCCCACCTACACTAAATCAACACAATCAATAAAATAAACCAAAACCACCCCACCCCACCCACACCACCTCCAACCAAGCACCCAAAATAAAACTCCAAAAACTCCAAAGCCCATCCCCACCACCGAAAAAGTAGACAAAAAGGAGCTTAAACACGAAATTCATAGAATATAGAAATCAACTTCACTAAAAAATAGCTGACAGATAAGCTATAGGTCTAAATACTCCATTTCAATTGCTATACAGAACCTTATTCTCAAGGTAATAAATAAGAGATCAGAAAAATAATAATGGTGGAGACTGAAAACTTTAAGAAGTGATGATTTGAACCATAACCAAAAAAAATTCTTAAAATGCAACCGTAACAACGATCCCACCTAAACTACATACCCCTATACCCAAGCATTATTGAAAAAACTTAATTGTAAAACCATCCGGACCTAGCCATAGATTTCAACATTCCATATCCATGAACTATATCCCCCGATCCTCCTATTAAATCCCTCTCCTTTAGAAATGCAGCATTAGCGGACTCAAAACTCGGGCTATTTCCAAATTAGTAGATAGGCACTTACAACTATCACTCACAAATGAAACAAATGGTTATGAAAGTGCTCATCACCGTCCAAATTAGCACCCTAAAACTAAACAAGAGCCTAAAAAAAACTAATAATACATCCTCTAGGTAGGACCATTAGCAAAGAGTAGATTTATCAAACTGCTAAAATATATGCACAAATCAATTGACCAATGCATGCATCTCAATATAGGTTATTTCACACTTCAAATAAAAGTTTGTTAGAAGACCACCTTATAATTTCCCAAACAGCTTCATTCACTTTGGCTTATGTTAATATTAAATAGGCAATCTTTAGTATCTCAGAAGCAAATTGGAAAATATATACACATGCAAAATGGCAATCATCAAACTGGCTCACTCTAATTACTCCAATCATAGTATCTCACCTAATGATCTTAAGCAATCAGATATATCGTACGTTTCTACAAGCATTTGCTCAACACGTAACTCCCTATTTATCGCTTAAGAATGCTTTTAAGCATGACAGCATAATAAAATAGAAAAAAAAATACAATATATACAAAAAAACAAAAGCAATCTAACATAGAGTTCATAAAAGTCGCACTTCAAGGAGACATAAAAAGTCTCATGGGCAAATGCATGTTAAAAGATAGCTCAATACCACAAAAAGTCACCCCAATTTTAGAAAAATATGAAGTTGGCACCATCGACCACATGGCCTAGTCTTGTTAATAGAAAAGGATCAGTAAAGAGTTCTGCTAAGTGTATGACAATAAATAAAAACTAAATGATTAAAATAACACGATAATTAAAACAATAAACAGATACCAACAATTGACCATGATATTCAGTTAATTAGTACTCACAAAGAATAAAACTTT